GTTTCGAGAATCATTACTTCGCTGGATGACGTGATAAATTGTACTAACGAGAAATAAATTATGATTGTGTAATTTATAAATCGTGCGAATTGTTTCGTAAACGTGAAAGATTGCACGTGATTTAAACGTCACGTGAAAGATTATTAACTTTTATCGATTTGAATGAAAAACTTGGAAAAGAGAAATGTTTTGATACAAATGAATTAATAATAAATATTGTTGAAAAATATTTTAAGCTTCTACAAAAATATTGTGAAATCTATTGAATTGCTCGATCATAAAAGACAATGAATTTATATATATATATACATATATAAAAGAATTGCATAAAATTTGAAGTGAAATGAAAAGAGGCTGCATTGAGTAAAAAGAGATTGATGAAAGAAGATCTAGTGTTTTAACGATGACTTTATCGACTTCTGGTGTCAATTATAATTATCATTACTAGAATATGAGAATATTTCCTGACATTGACCTGCTTTCTATGGAATACGCGAATGAGAGGAGCAATTTATTGAATTCTAATCGAGAAAATGCCACGTCTTTCTCATCCTTGGTTCCACAGGGATTGGCACGAAGTTATGGATCATTTTCTTCTTATCAACAGGTGATACAATCGATCTGGAACAGAAGCAAACAGGTACAGAAAAAATAATACCGATAAAATATGTTTAATCAATCGGTGAATAATTATTTACTTGACAAAAGAAGACGATTATAATATTTATAATATTTCTTCTTTTTTTTTTATTTAAAAAAAATTATTTATAATGAATGTATTGAATGTTAATTAAATGTTATAAGAATACATTTTTAAAAAATTTGATACTGAAAAATATTATTCAGAAAGTTTTATAATATTTTTTCAATAATTGGAATCTTAATATTTTGGAATTCATGGAGTTCATTCTTGATTTATAGCCAAGTATGTACTATAGTGATATATAATAATTTTTTCTCCTTCAATAAAAATTAAATTTTTATGTTTTATTCTTTTTCCATATAAATTATTTTAATGATATCGCAGTATTTTCTTAAATGTGAAAATTAAATTTCTGAAATTGTGGATTGAAAATGACGATCTAAAATTAAATCGAGTTTTTATTTCGAATAAATAAATTTCAACGAATTCTAAGCTAGAGGATTTCGAAGATTTTCCATAGGTGAGCCAATTCTAAGATGATGTAATATTTTATATTCTTTACGATTCGTTTGTATTTATATATATGTATATATATATCCAAGCTATAAGTTGAATATTATATTTACTTCATAAATATGAGGAAACCGGGGGCAAGATTTTGAATTGAATTAAACGAAAACGATTTAGTGTCGTTTTGTCAGTTTGCCTGGACAACGTGCCAACATTTTTCGACGTGTCTCGAATGAAGAATGATAGATGCAACAGTGTCTTTAAACGTTTCCCGTATACCTTGAATCGCGTTTGGATTCAATTAACACGATTTATTCGTTTGTGAAATTTAAAACGATTAATTGCACGTACATGAAGTTAAATTGATTGAATTAGTGTTTTAAGATTTTTTATTTTTTTTTTCTTTTTTTTAAATTCTTTTTTCAATTTTTTTCGACTTCCTTCTCTTTTATTCATTATTATAATATGATCTTTTCCAATTATTTTCACGGATCAAAATTTTATAATTGAATGTGTAATGACATAAATACATAAAATATATGTACATATATATATGTAAAAATATGACATATGATATGATATATTTTTACATTTTTTAATGGTCGCAACTGTATGTTCCATTATTTCAATAAATGAAACCAGATACTGATCTTTATTACTCACCAGTTGTGACGTTCCAATATTTGCTCTTCTCCGCGACTTTTTGCCGCCTTCCTGATCAATTTACAATAGTCAATTCATGGAGATAACGTGAATAAATAATTGATTCTAGATCTTTATCTGCTAAATGCAAAAATCAAATATACCTGCTATCATACTAACGCTGTAAATTTCCATAAATAATATAATTTTTTTAAAGGATAATCTTTTGATCGAGATATCTAGAAAAATTAAAATGTGAAAAATATAATTATCTGTGAAAGTTATCAAAAGTTATTCAGAAGAGAAAGCAAGATTTCTAAAAATTGTAAAAATTAAATAGATAAAATCGCATCATAGAACGTAGGAATTAAAATGTCTCGTTTTCCAAGCGCAGTTACATATTTCTTTTTATAAGATCTAACAAACGACATATTGTACAATTGATTAGTTTGTTGAGTGCTTTAATTGGCCCAAGTGCTGTGAGTAGTGCAAGGACGCGCAGTCTCTTCGCCTAGTTCTATAGAGTAAAAGTATTTTTCTAACTGAAAGTTTCTATGAAGGTTATTCTCCTTAGTTGTTAACGTTTGCATTCGTGATTTTATTTTAGTCGACATAATTGCATTTTTGAAATTGATTATCGTATATCGTATTTTTTAAATCATTATAAATATGAAAAGAACTTCCAAGAACTTTTTTATTTTTATTGGTAATTACAATGTTCTAAAAATTCTAAAAATTTGAATTTATGATATTATATATATTATATTATATATAATGATAATATATAATACAAATAAATTTAATATAAAAAGAAAAAATGATGAAAGAAAATGACAGAACTTCAAAATTTTTGAAAATTATTGGATAGAAAATTTGAATTTCGATTAAAAAAAGAACTGTTATTGTTAATGATTTAAAGATTAATCGATAAAATTTTTTCTTAAATTGTTACATTGCTGTCACGATTAAAGAACATCAAAAGACTATGCACAACAATTGCATGATTAGACTGCACTTATCGTGGAATGCAAACGAATGAAAGAAATCTCTGTTTGACAAATTTACCATCCAATATTGCATTCTTAACAATGGAGTATCTTTATTTCAATGCGCACAATGTTTGCGCATTAAAAAATAACAAATGGCTCGTATTTTTTTTAAATTTATTGCAAATTATATTTTTACTTTTGTTCCATTCTTCGATTCAAAAAAAATAATAAATTCGTTCATTCTTTTTCTTGAAGAATTCTAATCTGTTATTATATAACATAAATTAGAATATTTTAATGCATTATTTTTATGAAATAGAAAAATAAAATAAAAATTTATATATATCATAAAATAATTAAAAGAATATATCTTATTTTCTCTATAAATTCTTCGCAATTTTTCCGGATTTTTTTTTTCTTTTATTTGGAGAAAAAATTTTATCACCAAATAATTACAATATTATTATATGAAACATATGAATTTCAGACTAAATATCACGAAAATCGAATAAATTATTTCTTGATTATATAGCACAATTTCTAAAGTACTTAAACATGATAACACTCTAAATATAAAAGACAAAACAATTATGAATAACACTGAAATGTTTGAATTACAGTGTGCGAAGATAATAAAAAGGAAAATAATTTATTTCTATGGATAGATCGTTTATTCTCTGGATACTTTATGTTCCTTTGTAATACGAACACATTGTGTCGTAAGTGTGACGCATCTATTATATCAGACAATTAGTAGTATTTCGTGAAATGTCATTATGCACTTCAAAATTAACCGATCTTTTTAAAAGATTAAATTTGAGAGAAGAAATAAAAAAAAACCTGCATAAGAAAAAAAATTGCAATCAACTTCTTTCTGGTGTCAATTAACAACAAATGTTAATGAAGCTTTTATGATAGAAAAATAGAGATAAGAAAATGAAGAACCGTTTATAAAACTTATATTTTCGTGTTCTAAATACAGCTGTAAATAATTAAGTCTTGAAATTGAAGGATATTAGAATTATTTCTATATGAATTCATCAAAAAATTCTTTATAAAATAATGAAAATTTCTTATTTTTTTCTTTTCATATTATTAATATAAATATAATATATAATATAATATATTATATAAATTATTATATATACAATTTTTTATCGAATATAAATAATCAATTCAAACAAAATTAAAGATAAGAAATATCGAAAATGTTCACTTTTAAAAATTCATTTTAATTTTTACTCATAAAAATTTTTTTCTAACTAAAAAATAAAATTCTAAAATAAAAATTTATTTTTTTGCATTTTTCTTTTCTAGGATAAAAGAAGATAAAATTTTTTATTCGATTAAAAATCAAATTACACGAAATATCGATACCAAGAATAAGAAAAATCCCTCGATTAGGAAGATTTCCTCTATCAGCTAGTATTATAGCGTAATCAAATGAAATTTACGATAGTCAGTCTTAAACGACTAAATCAATTTATTCGATTACGTCACACAATACGATTCTCCGTGTTCTCGGCACCTATATAACGATCGTTCCTCTATCGAATCCGACGACCGTCTGCCTTTTGTGTCGTTCGATTTTCAATCTCCCCCCTTTACGATATTTTTGTCCTTGTAACGCGTGAATCAATGAATAATACTCTCGCGAATTTCCTCGTTTCGAAATTCTTCGAATTTATTTTTGTATTAAATGATATGGATTATTGAGAATTGAATATTTTTAGAAACAAAAAAAAAAAAGTAATAAAAAGTTTGTAAAAATGTACAAAATATTCGAAACTATATTATGTTTTAAAAATGAAACAAAACAAATTTTTATTCAAGTTCCATTTCTTTAATCAGGTTCATAAAGATTTGTTTCTGCATAAAAAAAATTCATACTCATAAGTAATTAAAAAGATTAACACTAAAGATATCATATGAATGTTAATTATATTTGTGATATCTTTGGAGAATCGATTCTAAAAGACGAAACAAAGCATGAAAGTTGATATGTAAAAAAATCAATTGAAGCTTATTTATTAAATTATTATAGTAATTTAAGATAAATAATATAATTATTTTGATTTCTAGAATTTATGTATATAATAATAATGATAATTTTACCAATGCAAAGAAATATATTTACTATTTAATCATTTAATATTATTCCATAAATAATTCCATGAAATTTACACAATTATTAATAATTTTATTATCATTCCAAAACAAAAAGCTCATCACGACATTATTATTCAGATCGAATTATTATCACTTACTTTGTTCATTACAACATTTTCTGCAAAATATTTGACAATAATTGCACATTATATACAAAATAAATAATCTTCAATAATAATCAAAAGAAATATTTCAAAAACTGTAAAAATTCATAATGTCGGCCATTCAAAAATTTTCATTCTTTCCATCGAAAAGAATGGGGCGCGTTTCACATTAATGCAAAATAAAAATTTATACAAACTCATAGACGATTTAATAATTAACTAATTAAAATTGCATCCGCACTACGTTTAGTTATACGTAGCAGGGTTAATCAAATGGTTTTCCGCAAACAATAGTGTACCGACGTGAATGACGACTGGAGACGAGAGAGCACGTTGTTAATACACGCGATTCCACACGACTTGTGTACACGACTTTAAAGATCCTACGTCGGATATATAAATGTCGCACGATATGCCAGACGATGCTCTTAACCGATCTGTTGGTGTCGCGGATCGCACGCGTTTCCCAGTGGATCTCGTGCGTTTTCAAGAAGCCATAAGTAGAGGTGCGCTCGTTCCGAGGAGGTGACGAAGGAACAAAAGGAGGATTGGAAAAAAAGGGGGAAAGAGATGACGACCAGAAATTTGGAAAAGATGCTAAGGCTCACCACGTTGTCGAGGGTCCGTCTTTTACGGTATTGAATATATTGAATAATGTCGATGAAGGAAATATAATTTTGGATTTTAAGGGTTTATATTTTAGTCCACAGTACACAGTATTTATAGTAGTCAATGGAAGATGTTTTGTCGTAATTTCGGCTCTAGTAGGATTCGTTGGTTTGATGTAATAAGAAAGAGATAGATGATATTTTATAGAAAGAACATCTAGAATAGATGTACAATAGAATATCTGTGGCGTTGATTATGTAGAGGTTTGATTGAGAATCTATCCTTTGTAAAGTATTGATTGTGGCTTTAAAGTTCACAAGATGTAAAACAGATAGATTATATTATGCTTTCTTTTTGTTTAAGGCTGTTGGAGAATATTATATAAAACTTGGATTTTGTAAAATTTATGGTACTGAATAATGGTGATTTAAAGTTCATAATATGGATATATTTTACAATTCATATGATGGAGAATATTTTTATCTTTTTGATTATGGAATTGAATGTGGTTTAAGATTGATGGGATGGCAAATATTTTATTATATTTTGAATTTTATGAATGAATGTGATTTAAAGTTGAAGAATAGCTAATCATATTTTCTGAATTCTGAACAGTTTGTATTTTATGATATTGAATGTGGTTTAAATTTTATGAGATGGAGAATATCTTATCATATATTTCCAAGTATAGGTGTTTAAAATGAATAGGATGGATGATATTTTATTATATTTTGGATTTTATGATTTCCTTTGATCAATTAAAGTATTTTCACCTATGGATTTTCTCTTTTTAAATATTCTTCTTATAAAAAATTTGAATGATTCTTATCGTTTGTATTAACATTATAACTTTTGATAATTTCTCAATGGTAAAATCTATTCCTTGAAATAAAGACTTATTTTACGATCTCTCTCTATTGATCTAAGATCTTACGATACTTCCTTAGTTAGATAAATTAATCGATAAAGTAAGATGTTATTAGAACTCGTGACTCATCTTTCACAATACGAATTGTTAAAATTGTTATTTTTAAATATTGTCTTTAAACAAATAACATAAATTTTTACAGAGTTTTATTAATGAATAAACACGAAATAAAAAAAATTCTTGGAACGTGATATATCGATCATTTTAATTTCGTATATATTTATCATCAAACACATTGTAAATTCAATTTCATCCTGACACTATGTGCCATAATTTTTCAAAAAGTAATCACAAATTTTTTTTTATCAAAGTTATTCGATAAAAGAATTACAGGTCAAAGACACGAGATTCTAATATTTGAACAGATGGCCATATTCCATTGAAAATATTGATATTCCATTTCTACATTTCCTTTTTTAAAGAATATTTCAAGCGTACATTTTCCACGTATTTTTGCATAGTAATCTTTATCTCGGATTTTCGTTGGAGCACATCGAGAAAAGAATGCCATGCGGAAGACCAAAGATGATCGTGTTAAGATCACGACGCATCATTTTCGAATCAGTATCGAGGAGGAGGAGGACGATGAAGAGAACAAAGAAGCGGAGGATCAAACAGTCAGAGAGATGGACAGAAAAATTTCCATCACGATAGAAACGGATTCCAACGTAACGATCGGTGGACAAGAATCTGAAATAAAAAATTTTTCATTCGATCAGGAAGAATCTTCGTTTTCGATCAATGATCAATCATTACCCGATAAAATCTTGAACAAGAACGTCGAGGACGATTGGAACGAACGTGAGAGGCACCTGCAGAGAATAAGCGACTGTCAATTCAGAACATCGATCGAATCCGGTAGTTCAGAGAATCGAAACGATGATCAGAAGAGGAGGAAAATGGATGAGCTGGTGGATGAAAATTTTTCTGACGATTCTGGGAGAAGCAGGAAACAATTGGAGAAGATGCAAAGTGACAGTTTGGAAAGCGAAACACGATCTTCGATCACCTCCACGGAAGTTTCGAACGAGAATCGTGGAATCTTTGGTTCCAGCAACGAGATCTCTCCACCTTCGACCAGTTTTGAACAAAAGGGAAACTTTGGCCCAATTTATTCGACGATCAAGTATTCCATCGAAGGATGCTCCTACGAGAATGCAAATTCGATCAACAAATTGGATCACGGTTCAATCTCGACCACCAGCTTCCTTCCTTTCGTTGAAATTTCCAATAGCGGGTCCACCATTAAACGTCATGGATCTCTTTCCACGTATGAAACGAGATTATCGAGCATGAATTCCCCCGTTGAACGCAAGAGAACTCAGAGCACAAACGAGAAGATGTTACAATATTCTAAGAAAGCGTTTTCTCGATCGAGCGAGAGAAAACAATCGATAATAACTACACCAGAGATCCAAGAAACCTCCGCACTTGACCATCCAATTGTTTCTTCCGAAGTCTCTCCGCTTTTAGTCAGACGATGTTACAAATTCATGCCCACGTTTCCACCACACTCGTCGAGTCTGGAAACTGGAGAAAATTCGCTCGAGACGAAAGATATCGTCACGAATAAATCGGAAACGAGAAACACAGAATCATCGTTTACGTTCAACGTTGATCTAAATTCCAAAGATGCATCCAAATCTTCGAAGATCGAAGAACTCGCCTATCCATCCATCCCTCGAGTCTCTCCACTTCTACTCAGACGATATTACAAAATCATGTCCACACGTTCATCCAGTCTAGACGAGATTTCTGGAAAAAACCATCAAGAAGAGGACCAACATTCGTCCAATACGAAAGAATCTACAACCAATAATCAAAGAATGTTAAGCGTTAAAAATTCAGAGGAAGCGAATCAGTCAAACGTAGCTCAAAGAAGATCGACTTTGCCTATAATGAATATCGATCTAAATTCAAAAAGTGTACCTAAATCGCCCAATTATCAGGACGTGTTGTCGGGGACGAGCGTTAATCCCATCAGACGATCAAGTATCGCCAGTGCAGCTATCTGCTCGAGTTTGGCTCCAAGTTTGGTCAGCGCGTCTCAAGGTATTCCAAACTGTTTGTTGCCTATCTCGGATGAGAAAGAAGTATCGAACGTCTCTACGAATATTGACGACCACGTATCCGGAAAAAGCGGTATCAGGTTGAAATTACCGTTTCTAAAGATTCATATACCTGTACAAGCAGTGACTAGTAGCTGGTCGGCCTCGAAGGAGGATGTTAGCCATCATTATTCGCATCATCATCATCATCATCACCATCATCACCACGTGTTTCCGCATTTTCATGTACCCACGTTTACGTTCACCGCGACGGCCACCGATGGCACCGAATCCGGCCGGAAGTTCAACTTTGGGATTCGAAGACACTCGCAGATGGTTAGTTAGCGGTATTTGACGAGTGTTTGTTCCTTTGAGATGGGAAGAAGCAGCTTTGATTAACGACGAGATTATTTATCGAGTGATCGCAGGCTTTTTTCGTGTTTGTTTCGAGGTTTCCGATGTCGATTGTTTTTTGATTAAAATTGAATTTTGATATGAGATATCAAACTTCTTAAATAATAATAATAATCATAATAAATAAAAGATACAATCTATATCTGGAAACCTGAAATATTAACGTGTTTTACATTTAAAAAATGCTGTCTCATTTGCACGAAAATCAACGTACAGCTCGATCGTTCATTTAGAAGGAATCCATTGCAAAAAAAAAAAAAAAAAAAAAGATTTCCAACGATTTTAAGGGAAACGTAAATATGACACGGATGCTTTAAAAGATGGATTAAAGGATAGATTTGATCAATGTTTGTCTAAAATAGAGATTACGATGATCATGTTTTCGTTCGGGATTCTTATCTTCCATTTTTTAAATAACTGACGTTTAGATATTTCTTATAAATATTTAAATATAGAAGATTCAACAAACATGTCACGTTTAATCGTATCAGACATCTTATTTCTTATTTAATTTTTTGCATTCGATCGTTTTATTTTTTCTTTGTTAATTGATTATATTCAAAAATTGATTTCCATTGACGTATTATCATTTTAATCAGAATTTCTTTAAAATTATAAATGCGAGATTAAAGACAGTGAAATCGTAAAATCTCCATTCAATTATACGAGATATTATTTTTACTTACGAAATTCAGTTTCACCATTTATACGATGATAACGTTTCATTATTTATCTTCATTCTTTTAATTTATTAGCCAATTTAGATAAAACAAGGTGTAAAATTTAATAATAAACTTTTAGATAATAAGTAAATTATATCTATTATAGTTATAAATTAATTATGATCATATTTTTTTAAACGATTAAGTAAATTCTTTCGTGTAAAATTTACATTGTAGATAAAAATATTATTCATTCATTTTTTGCAATGTTGATTAATAAAAATATTTGATTGGATGGCATTACGAGATAACTTGTCTAATAGAATTTCGCTGGTCTCTCATCTTATCAGTTTCTATTTGCAACGATATTGTATTTATCCATAAATAAATTATTTTTTACATCGTGCATTCAATGTAAAAAATACTTCAATATATTTTATCAGGTGGATCCAGTGTGTATTTCAACGATTGAGATTTGATTCGCATGGATTGATTAAGATTGTGAATGTGAATGAAAATTTATGTGTGTGTACATTTTATCAAAGTACATTAACATTAAATCTAATATTTAGTTATATTCTGACTTATTTAATATGTAAAGCTATTTTATACACGTTGCTTCTTAAATTTTAACGAAAGATTATATATTGGTATATCAAATTTACCTTAAAGCTTGAAGTATTAATTCTTTTCAATAGCAAATATTAACAGCCTTATTAAAAGCCTTATTACAAAGCTTCAAGTTTGATTTATAATAGAATAGATAGATAGAAAGTGTTTATTGTATGCATAAAAAAAAAAAGAACAATTTGCATATTTCATTTTTTGAAATATTAATCATTGAATAAATATTTCAATGAATTGATACTTATATCTTAAAATCTTGTATATTATTCAATCAATTATCTTTAAAATCTTATTTTAATCTTCGAAAAAAGAATAAAAATTTTACGGTTGAAAGGTTTTATAAAAAATCGTTGCATAAAAATATTATAACAATATCCAAATTACCTTTTGTATCTTATTCTCTTTTTTTATATTTTTCTTTCAATTAACGTTTCTGCTATTTCTGATTCAGTTTTTATCGTTGACCCATATTCCATTGTGTTCCCTTGAAATATGTATAAGCTTTACGTATACTTTGCCTCACCCAGAAACCGTGAAAATTATTTGCAGTCACTATTCATGTAGTTCCATTAATCGAGCAATGAAATTTTTTATAATTTTTGTTCTAAATAAAAATCATCTTAAATATTTGATAATTTTTCAATTGTTTTTCTAACACGTTTTTTTTTATTATAAAAAATCGATATAATAATATAAATTAAAAAGTATTGAAATATTTAAAAATACTAAAATATTATTTTTAATAAATCTTTGATTATTATAAATTTTAATAATTAATATTATAAATTTATTCATCTCTTTTTATTATTTTTGTTTATTTGTTTGTTTGTTTTTTTTACAGATTTTTGTTTGTTTTCAATGTTAAAAATATTGTACGACTTATTAATTTAACTTTTAATTTTATGGCAACAACAAATTGCTTGTATATACATATTTTATTTTATTTTATTTTAGTTTTAAAAGCAAATTATTATAAAACTCTAAATATATCTTAAATTTTTAATATATTTAGAATAAGAACAATAATTTAATCATTTAATTAAAAAAATATCCAATATAAATAAAATTTAATGTGATTTATTCCTCATTTGATCTGATTTATTTTTCGATTAAGATATAATTTTTGCAAATTATGCCTCTACTCACACAGTAATTAATTCGTTTTGCATCAGCTTCCAATTAGAGAATACAAACATGAACAATTCTTCAATTTTTACTCATCTGTTGTAAATCCATTTTTAATAAGCTAATACTATTTTTCACAGACCTTACATCGGACTGACTCGATGGTATCGCTCTGCTACCGATCTCTTGCCAGCTATATCACAGATGATAATCTCGCTGGTCTTCAAAATTTCCTCGAGAATAAAAGAGTGCAGATCGATGACCGAGACGAGGTAAAATATTATTAAAATAATCATTTCAATTCGGATTAAATTATTTTTCTTCAATTTCTCTTTTTTATTCCATATGATAAATTACTTGTTTCATTTCTGAATCTGTATCTATTTCTATATCTTTGCATTAAGATGATGTATAAAAAAATTTTTTATTTTTTATATAAATAAACTGAACCATTTTCTTAATATCTTTATTCTCTTTTTCTAATCTCTATCAGGCGTAGTAGAATTTTTACATCTGTAAATTTATAATCCATAATCTTAATAGATTTATATTGATTATAGATTACATAATTATTGAATTGAATTTCCAATGATCAGACTCTAGATAGTTCATTATTGTTCTTATAATAGAATGGTAGCACAGCCCTCATCCTTGCAGCAACTAAGGGGAAAATACATTTTGTGCGAGAGCTTATCAATCATGGAGCGGATGTCAATATGGAGGACGGGGTTAGTATCGTGTATTATATCATCTATGAAATTCTTGAACATTTTTTTCATTCAATTATTTTTATAAATCTAAATTTATAAATCAATTTAATTTTTTTTTTTAGGATAATTGGACGGCATTACTTTGTGCTGCCAAAGAAGGACACACGGATGTGTGTCTTGAGTTACTCGAGCATGGTGCTGATTTGGAACACAGAGACATGGTAGAGATTTTTTAATCTTTTTTTCTTTTCTTTTATGATAAAAAAATTTAATTATATTTTTTTTATTATATTTTGAATAATTTCATGGTTTAAAATTAGATAAAGATTCACTTAGTTAAATGAATAAAATTATTGATAATAATAATAATAATAGAAAGAAAATCGTGCAAACAGTAAATATGGAAAATATTTTATTTTTAGGGAGGATGGACAGCACTTATGTGGGCGACCTACAAGGGTAAATCGTCGACGGTGACAATGTTGCTAACACGAGGGGCTGACGTCAATGCACACGGAAATTTTCATATATCTTCGTTGTTATGGGCCGCAGGGAGGGGTTACCCTGATATTGTTAAGGATCTCATTGCTCATGGTGCTAAAGTCAATGTTGGTGACAAGGTAATTTATTTTTACTTTTTTTCAAGTTCATATACGATGTACTTTATAAAAATAAATAATTAAAAATAGAAGAAAATCGATATTTTATGGATTATAATATTTTATTTATGTATTTCTTATCGAAGTAACACTTACATAAATGCTACTTGTCAATTTTTAGTATGGTACTACGGCGTTGGTATGGGCGTCACGTAAAGGACACGTAGAAATTGTAGATACACTTTTAAAATCTGGTGCTAATGTAGATACTGCTGGCATGGTATGTCTTCAATTTTAATATTCGTGTATGAATTAAGTGATGAATAAAAATTAAATTGATCAATTATTTTTAATTGTAAAGTTTTAATTTTAATAAAATAATCATGAACAATGAATTTTAAATTTAGTTTGAATTAGATAATTAATAAAATTTTGTACATAGTATTCGTGGACAGCTCTTCTTGTGGCCACTCTTGGAAATCATGTGGATGTAGTATTACTTCTCTTGGAACATAAGCCAAATGTGAATGCGCTAGATAAAGATGGTTGTACGGCCTTGGCAATAGCATGTCGAGAAGGGCATCACGAAATAGCAAATGCACTTTTAAATGCTGGTGCTTATGTAAATATTCAAGATAGGGCTGGTGATACAAACTTAATTCATGCTGTAAAAGGCGGTCATAGAGGGGTGGTTGAATCTCTTTTAAAAAAATATGCTGATGTTGATATCGCCGGCAAGGTAAAGACATATTTATTTAAAAATAATTAATCTGTCCAATTTTTATATGAATAGAAATTATTTAAATGTGTGTAAAGTTATTTAAATGTTTATTTTTAATAACCGATCATCGACATATCAGAATAACTATTTAAATTTCATAAATATTTTAGGATAAAAAAACAGCAACTTATATAGCAGTAGAGAAAGGAAATATACAAATATTGAAGTTGTTATTAAATGCTAATCCAGATTTAGAAATTGCGACAAAAGACGGTGATACTCCGTTATTACGCGCAGTTAGATCACGAAATGCTGAGATTGTACAATTATTATTAGATAAAAAAGCTAAAGTATCAGCCACGGATAAAAAGGGTGATACAGTATTACACATAGCTATGCGAGCAAGATCGAAAGCCATTGTCGAAATATTATTGAGAAATCCGAAAAATAGTCAACTACTTTACCGTCCAAATAGGCAAGGAGAGACTCCTTACAATATCGACATTAATCATCCAAAGACAATTCTTGGACAAATATTTGGTGCACGTAAGTTGCAATTAATTAATTATTAAGTTATATTGTGGTGTAAATATAGTAAATTATGTAATAGAATAAGTATATTAATGTTGAAATATTTATTTTTTTTATAAAGTAAAATATTAATAGCGATATGTTTATTTTAGGACGTCTTAATACTAATGAGGATAATGAAAATATGCTTGGTTACGATTTGTACAGTAGTGCATTAGCGGATATCCTTAGCGAACCATCATTATCGACGCCTATAACAGTTGGTCTTTATGCAAAATGGGGTTCGGGGAAATCATTTCTGTTAAATAAGTTGAGAGGTAAATTTGCTATGATTCATAAGACATTGCGAGCGATTATTTTACATTTTAAAATATAAAATTACATTTTATAAAATTATAAAATTCATATATTGATAATAATTTTTCAGAGGAAATGAAAAATTTTGCGCGTCAATGGATAGATCCTGTATTTCAATTTTCTTTCTTACTCTTTATTGTAGTAACTCACGTATCTTTATTAGTGGGTATTACCATAGGTCTTACTCTTCAATCATGGGTTGTTGGTCTTGCCTGCGGTATAAATCTTATTTTTATTACGTATATTTTTTTGATACTTGTTTGGTATGCTAATAAAAGGTAAGATTATAAATTTAAAAACCTATATTTTATATAGTTTTTCAAAGTTTAATTTTTAAATATTTCAATCGTAGATATGATTGGTATTGGCCATACAGTTTTACAGTAGCTCTAACTACAAAATTAAATTCATTGAAATTACTGTTACAAGTAATTTTTTGCCATCCTCCTGGTGGTCAAGTTCACGATGGTGTTACTGTTCAACCAATAAAATTCTATTTCACTGATCAGACTCGAGTCGGTACGACTGCTGCCGGAGAGAATGCAGTAGTACAAATGGTAGGATCTCTTTATGACTCCATCGAAAATGATTTTGGTTCTTTATCTACGCGACTGTACAGAGCATTCAGACCAAAACCAGATAAGTCAAGAACAACGTGGAAATGGAGACATCTTTGTTGTTTGCCATACATAGTTATATTTGAATTCTGCTTTTGCAGTTTACTTGTTGGTATCTCTGTACTTACGGTCTACCTCATCGATATTTCTAGCAGTGAGTGAGTATAAAATAAAATGTGATTTTTTTAAAAAAAGCAAATTAATTAAAATTATTATTATTTATTTATTTTTTTCTAATTTTTAATACAATAGACCAACAATAGAAAGAGTTACGGCACATATAATTATGATAACTGTTGCCTTAATATTAGCTATTAGTATAATAGCAAACTTATATACATGGAGTCGAACATTACAAGCATTAGTTTTCTCTCAAAGACGGCATCTACAACGCAGCATTTCTAAATTAGAGACTTTAAAAAGTGAAGGTTTTATACAAACACTAAGAAGCGAAGTCAATTTAATGACAGATATGGTATAACATATTATAGAGTAATATTTTTTATCATATTATTTTTTATACTTAATAAAATTTTTATAAAAAATAAAACAGGTTAAATGTCTAGATAGTTTTATGGCCCAACAAAGCAGATTAGTAATAATTGTGGATGGTTTGGATAGTTGTGAACAAGATAAAGTGTTATTAGTTTTAGATGCTATACAAGCATTATTCAGTGATAATGGTTATCCATTTGTTGTTATATTAGCAATTGATCCACATATTATTGCTAAGGTATTGTAATATTATTTTTTTATGAAATGTGGTATATAAAAGATTTTTAAATAATAAAATTTTTATTTTTTTCATTCAGGCAGTAGAAATCAATAGTAGAAGATTATTCACAGAATCTAATATTGGAGGGCATGATTATTTACGTAATATGGTTCATCTTCCATTTTATTTGCAAAATAGTGGTTTGCGAAAAGTAAAAGTTGCTCAACAAACTGCCCAACATAGTAGAAAAACTACATGGACCGAAGCCGAAGAAAGCGTTAATTATACTGCAACTAGTACGATGCATCATTCTGTTTCTAATAGAAGACTTAGCACAGAATCTGCTATAATGAATAGCAATGAAAAATTGAAACCACAAAGTAGAAAAGGAAGTAGAAAATTGCGATTAAGCGAATCAGTCGCTAGTAGTATTGGTAGCAATTTAAATCGATTAGGCGGAGCTCAGGATCTTAATAAAATGCTTCTCACTGACGATTATTTTAGCGACGTTAATCCCCGCAGTATGAGAAGATTAATGAACGTTGTTTATGTCACTGGTAAGAAGATAATTAATATCAGAGATATTCATTCCTGTATGTTCTGTTTATTTTTACTATATTATGTCTGTTCTTAGGGAGATTATTAAAAGCATTCCAAATTGATTTCAACTGGTATCATTTAGCTAGTTGGATCAATATTACTGAACAATGGCCATTTAGAACGTCTTGGTTGATTCTTCATTATGATATGTATGAAGATAGTTTAGATGATTCCATGTCGTTAAAAAATCTTTATGATAAGTATGTTTTTTTCTTTTCAAAATAATTATTTTTATCTAGTGATTTATATAAAACATTTCTATTTAAATCATTAGAATACGACCCCAAATTCCGGTACTTAAAGAAGTTCAACCTTTATTAGAAATGGATAGGGATGAACGTAAATTGGACATTTTTTTGACATTTCATCGTTCCAGTTTACTTGTTAGTGATATGAAAATATTCTTACCATTCACAATAAATCTCGATCCTTATATTAAGAAAAAAATAAAAGAGGAACAACAAAGTATGGAAGAAGAAACAGGACATGGTCCATATAAACAATATAGTCCTTGGACTTTACATAGTAATAGTCATGAACTGTGGAATGCAAATAGAAATGGTTTAGCAAGTCGCACAATGAAATCTATTAAAACACCAAGTATACAAGGACAAATAGGACCAGTGCCATCAACATCATCATGGATACAACCATGTATGCAACCATCATTCGACTGGCAGATATCACCATGGGTGCAAATATCTTCTATGGAACCAGTAATTAAACCACTTTCTGCAACTTCAAGCTTACCGGTATAAAATGCGATTATTAGCTCACATTATTATTATTACAATATATAATAATATTGCTATATAATATATGCAATATATAATTTCTTTTTTTATTTTTTAGTCCGAGATTTTGGAGATAAGACTTTCCTCTTTAACAGTAAACGGAATTTGCGATCTTATTGATAGGATCGAGAATATAAATCCTAATCAAGCACCGCAGTACAAACAAGTTATTAAAGAAAATAACATTAATGGTAGAGTTTTATTACATTGTGAATTACAAGAATTGAAAAAGGTAAATTTTATTTTTGTGAAATAAAAAATATAAGTAATAGATAGAATAGATTAATAATAATTTTTTATTTACAGGTTCTTAAAATGGCTTTCGGAGATTGGGAATTATTTCGTATGGTAATTGTATCTCTTAGAGAATTAGAAATTTCATCATTTAGCACACATGAAGAAGGTCCGCGAAGTGTTCGATTCACTGTAGGAACAGAACAAATTCCACGAAAAGGTACAAAAATAATTTAAGCAAATTATAGTAGATTATTAGATTATAAAATTAAATATATTATATAAACATATTTAAACACCATTGTTTCACATTATTGTTTAAATATAGATCATACTTTGCAAAGTACTTCGATACGCGTGCCAACTCATGTTGAAAAAGATAAGGGAACTTCAAGAACCGATGGTCCTCCTAGACGAGATCAAACTAAGCAATCAATTATGGAAAAACAAGTAAGCTTTCCTAAAACGTGACAATAAAATAATAAAAATGTAATAAAAATATTCTAACAATTAATTAATTAATTAAGTATAATTCTCATTACAATCGTGCTCGGTTTTAGTATCAGGTAAGCGCAATTTAATATTTTGTATTACTTTTTTCTGGAAAAAGATATGAATAATTGATAATAAAAAAAATAAATAATTTAAAAATTTATAAAACTATTAAATACAACAGAAAATAAATAAATAACTTATTTTTAGGTAACTTTAGAGGAACAGATGATTTGTGGAGCTCTGCAAACTTTAAATGAAGAAGCGTGCGAAGATGTATTAGATGTACCATCTTCTGCAGTAGTACCATCAGACTCACTCTCAGGTGAGCCCTCTTCCCTACCACTTTCACTGCCTCTGGTTATAGTTCAAGAACCACCGCAGCCAGACCAAAAGCGTGACACCGTACTAGAATATAGTACAAATTTTTAATGAATTTAGATCGAATATAGTTGTATAATTTAATCATGCGTGTATCATGCGTTTTTAGCATCAATATGACCACGTCGCATTCAAAAATGATTCTATAAAATCCATCATTTACAATTCTCCAGACAATATAATTGTTTAAATGTTTCTTATTACACAAATTCGTATATCGGAAAAATCGTACCAGTATTATTAATAGATAGGTGTATCTACATATAACAGGCAGTCAATAAAAATTTAATTTATTTATATATATATATATATATATATATTTTTTAAGTACAATATATGTGGTAGAGATTAAGGGAATATTACTACCTTCATCCTAATGAACCTCCACATGTGTCATACTCTTGAAAATGTGCCAACACGTTATGAAAGACTGGATCGTTACTATTGACAAAAAATATAAAATGAATGTTTCTTATAAAGAGAAAAAAAAAAAAATTTTCATTGTAATACTTAATACTGTTATAATGGTTTGAATGTGTGCGTTATCATAGATATAGAAAAATATCATACACATTTTCATGTAGTAATTTAAAATATTAATGATATAGCGAAGAAAAAAACTGTGTTTTTTGTATTCCTAAAATTATAGAATATCTTCGTATTCTTATCTTAAATAATTTGATGCTAATACTCAATTGGTTATTGTATTCTTAATTGTAGATTCATAATACTAAAAATACTGTATTTTTTTAACAAACATTTGTAAAACAGGCTGTGATAATTAATTGTTACCATCATTGTCAAATGAATATATTTCTCTTTTCGGGATGTTTATGCTAATAGATCTTGTATATTTAGAAAGATAAGTTTCTATATGAAAACATTTTATATACTAAAGTAAATTGCTGATATTTTTCTTTGTGTATTCTTTTGTACTGTATGTACAATTATCCTAACTAATTGTTGAATAATTATGAATGCGAATGACAATAAAATTTTATTGAAAATTTAAGTGATATTATCTTTCTTAAACTAGATCTATAAGCTTATTGGATATATATGCTTTCATTTTATATTTTTATTACTACAACAGTATTACAAATTAAATCATTTTATTAAAAACATGAATTTAATATTTAATCGTGTTTTATTTAGGTATCCTTTTACAGTATTTAACATTTTATTAATCACTTTTAATAAATTAACGTTTATATTTAATTCATCTCGAATGATATAAATGAAAAATTGGATAACAGAAAGATTTGTTTTAGGATCCATCTCAACGGCTCCTCAAGATACAGATTATGTGATCCTTCAATCTAATCCACTTCTGCATTGGGTGCCAGTCAATGATGAGCCCGAAACGTCAGATGACAGTTCATTTGAATCAACAGTTCATCTTCAACGTACAAATTCACAACGTAGTATTACATCTCAACTTAGTACTAGATCAGCTTGTTCATTTGGACGTAAAGATTTAAAAAAAAGTGGAGGCAATTCCACTAGTAGTAGACCTGCATCGCTTTTCGTATCACCTCCACCTTCTCCCAGACCTGCTTTCAGATCTAAATCAACAGACGAAAATTATGTAGTTAATAATATGCCCATGAAATCGACTATCTCTACACCTATCAAGAAACGACGCTCAACGTCAACATTAAATGATGAAATAGTTTTATCAGTCCCTGTTCCAAATTCCAGCTTGGAAAAATTAAGCAAATTGAAAGATCGTCTTATGGGAACATTACCTGTTTCACCTGCTCCAGGAGAAAGCGAAGATGAATCTACGCCGTTAGTTTCCGAATTATCTACTCCAACTCATTCACAATCCGATAGTGTATTTAGACATGACTGTAGTGAGGAAAACAGTAGTTCTATTTCTTCTAATAAAAGTTTACCTCGTGATGGAGAACGATCTATTGATATTGTTGATTATTCTGATACAGTTAGTTTAATGATACGTGAGTCTTCGCATATGCAATTTTTATCACGTCAAAATGTCGAAGAATGGGGCAATCCAGAAACACCTGTTTGATATCTTCTGCTATATAATTGTTAATAAGTCTCGATGACATACATTAATATATAATAGAAAAAAAAAACGTTCAGTCAAGTCGTACTTAAATCGTTTGTGATATATATTTTGAAAGGTAGTCAAGCAATTCAGAATTTCACTTTGTATATAACAAATAAAAGATGTTGAATTTTTTAGATGAAGTATTTAAAGATGTTCATGCATTATCAAGTTATGCATTAGAAAGAACAATGACAATGCTGATAAACAATGCCTTTTATGCAACATATTTATTTAAGTTTTATAAAAGATATGTTTAATCATCGCATCGTAACATTCCTTCATAATAATTTTAATGCATTTAACCCCAGCCTATTAATTTATTAAAAAGAAACTGATAAACCAGAAAATGTTTTTTATTTTATTATAAATATATTTTGAAAAATTAATTCAAATCAATTCATAAAAATGAAATTAAATACAGATAAATAAACATTTAGTATTTTACATATATAAATATAACATATTGTAAATATAAAAAAATATCATATTTATTATCCTATTTGTCTGATATCGCCCGATACTAATTTTAAATATTAATTGTCAAATATATGACAATATTATGAGTAAATACATATTCTTGATTTATGTAATGATTGATATTATAAATTCTACAAGATATTTTATAATAATCTGTGTTAGTAGCAAATTTTCTCTTTTGTACTGCTCTTATTGTTGCGCGCGTTTAATATAAAGTTATAGAAATTTTGAAATTAGAAAATATTTATTATTGTTGAATTTGAGAAATGGAATTATATTATTGAAGAATAATTTATATGTTAATTTTTATTATTTAAATATATAAATTTTTATTGAATTTTTTTTTATAATTTTGTAGTAGTATTTAGTTATGCTATAAATTTTTATTTTAAAGCTTATAAACTTATGAAGACAGCACTATCATTTTTACAGTATTTTTAATAATTAAATGCCTAGTTCATAAAATATATAAAACATGAATTAAATATATCTTTGACAAATCTACAATATAATTTTTTAATAATATCTTTTTTATTACAAAGCGAAAAATTATACATATGTATATAACAATGTATGTATGTATATATATATATATATATATATATATATAAATAATAATACTTTAGGACGGAATACATTAGGGTATCAGTTGATAATAGCATTGTAAAACATAAGTAACATATATATTAGATTTTCAAATAATAATATTATGTGTACTCTGCTTATTACTATTAAATATAGTATATTTAAATACATAAAACATCGAACAGCGCCTTATTCTATCATAAATGCTCATATATGGAATACAATAAGTACTTTAACAGCCTTTTGTAAGTCGTCGAAATGAGTTCTATTTTTATAATTTATGAGAAACATATTTCGTGTCTTTTAAATGCATTACATAGAACAAATTTTGTAATACAATAATTTAATCAGATTTCTAAATATGAAACAATATTTTTTATCAATCTAGTCATAGATTGTTTTTTTTGTCTGAAAAAAATTCTCACAGTATTTTCTCAAAATAAAATATTTTTAGTTCATTGTATTACATACTTAAAAAACATATTTTTTTATAAAATACTGATATGTTAATTACAAATATTAAAAACTACATAAACAATAATAAAAACTATAAAAAAGAAAACATTTTGGCGGTATGTTTACATAATATGATAAAAAATTAGATATCGTAAGTATAAACATATTAATATAAATTGTAAATTTTTTCTATGAAAGGTGCAATATATCATTGGTCCCGCCTAATTTTTTATAAATAAAAATCGATAAAAAAAATTATCTTTTATGAAATGATTATATCTATAATGTAAATATCTTTGTGGATAAAGTTATTTTCAATAAAATGTTTTACGATAAATAAAATATAAATCGATAGGAATGAGCATAAATTTCAATAGTGATATTTGTTTTTCATTGTCATCAAAGGCACTATGGCAAGTATAAAGTATTATTTAAATATTATATAAATACTTTTAATTAAACTATCATCTATCTAGGCACCAGGAATTTATTTGCAAATTCGAAGCAATATATAAGGTTTTTCTAATTATACATAATATATAATTAGCGATAAGAAACTTGAAAAACGTAAAAATTGAAAAATAAATCAATTTAATAATAGTAAGAGCACCATATATTATTTATTTTTTAATATATGTATAATGTGTGTTCTTATTTATGTAATGATGCAAAATCAGTTAATTCTTTATAAAAATTATAAAATAATAAATATAGAACACACAAATAATTTGCATGGCATAAATTGATATTATATTAAAATAAAATTAGTGACATAGATAAAATACAGAATAAAATTTTTTATCAAATTTTTAACATATTGTACTTAGTAAAAAAAAAAAAAAACTATGCATAATTTTAAGGATTTTTATGATATTAAAGAGTATTAACATAATAACCAAATGATATATTTTATATATTTATAAAAATTTTTTATAATTTGAAAATATATCTTATTATAAAAAAAAGATATCAAGAAAGCAATAATTTAATTTTCTAATTAGAAATTACATTTATACAATTTATATTTTTGTTTTGATTTCTCAAAGAATTCATATGATTTATTCATATATTTTTTTAAATTAAGAATTAAAATCAAATAAAATACTTACATGAATGTAAATTATTTATAATTTGCAAAAAATACAAATACGAACTGGTCCCATTGATATGTTATTTCAAATTATTTTATATTGTCTATTTAGGCAATATTATATTCCAATAGGCACAAAAAGTATATCAGTATATATATATATCTTGAGGAAGACAAAATTTGATAAATATTTGTTCTTCTGTTTTAAAAATATTATTCTATAAAATATTATTTTTTTTGTATTTTTCATTGATGAATTAATATTTTAAAGTTGCGTTGTAATTACAGTCTTCCTCGTGATTACAGTATGTTTAATTGGAGTTTGATCTGTTGTCGTTGTTTGTGGATCGGCTACTAACCAAGGACTTATATCAGAAACTGCCAAATTATCATCCTGAAACACAAAAAAAATATCATTTATCTACTTTAAATTTTTTATGCATAAAATTTTAATTAAAAATATAAAAATATAAAAACATTTAAAAAAAACAAGCACATATTTGCATACAATTTGCTTAAGCTAAAGCATTTTTAAATGAAACAAACTAAAAACTGTTACAATTACTAATTATCAAGCATTTAAGATTGAGCCACACCTTATGAGTAAGAGTCGTAGTAGTAGTTTGTATCTCTTCAGTTTTCACGACTCTCGCTCCATTTTTTTCTATTTCCGCTTCAGCTTTCTTTTCAACCATAGGTTGTATTTCTTTAAAAGGATTAAGCAAACCCAAAAATGGATTTGAATCAATAAACGGGTTTGTATTTGTTTTTTTTTCTTCTTCTGTTTTTATATCTTCTTCTGTGTTTTCAGAGATATTAGTAATTTCGTTGTTATTATCGCTAGTAAATGGATTGAATGGATTTTGAGATTGATTTGAAATTTTAGGATTCAGTTGTGTTGTTTTTTGTTCAATTTGTCCCCAGCTATCTAGAGAAAAGTGTGTTACAGTCACATTGTCGTCAGCAGATGGATTTATCATTGTAGTTCCGCTTACTGAAAGTGTCAGTTTATCTCCTCCCTATATAAGAAATAACGCGAAAAAGCAAACAATCATATCTAAGCTTAAAAGCAATAAAACAAACAAAAGTAATAAAAAAATTATTTATGTAATAATACAAAATATATCTAAAAAACGCAACATGACAATAAAAATATAAGTAAAAATATTTCGTATGTACGAATTTTTCAGATTTTATCTATTTTAGATATTTGTCAATGACATTTACATTTTATTGCTACATAATCCTAATTTAAATCGCAAATACAATCTTTTAATTTCAATAATTTATTTGTTTAAAAAATGTTTATAATGCAAAATAATTTAATTAATGAATAGCATTCTAAAAATTGAAAAGGACTTTCAACTTTCTACTATAATAAATATATTTGAAATTTATTACTTATATATTTTATACATTAATGATATTATAAAAGTTTAATTTTCTTACCACCGATACGATTGTTGCTGCATCAGAATGCTGGTTGTTTTTATTAATAACTGTAGGTGTATCCATGGACGTAATTGAAACTAAATTTGAATTTTTCCCTTGTTCTAAAGACTTTGCTTTTAATATATTGCATTTTAATGATTCTGGAGGAATAGGTGTACGTGGAGGCAGTGAAGAGGTACCACCAACTTGATTATTTGGTACTAATGATGTTTGATTACTTATATTTTCGATAATTAAACTCGTTTTCACTGGTTCTGATTCTTTTTCTGTATTAGCAATTGTTTGATTTCTAGGTTCTAAAGGTTGTTGGTCTTTGGCCAGAGATTTCAATAAAGAATCTACTAAAGGCGAAGGTGTAGGATGTACGCTAGAATCTGAAGACTTTGTACTACATTGACTTGATTGACGCTGCAAAGATTCTTCTTCGTCTAAAAAAAAAACAAAAAAGAAAAATTTATTTGGAAAAAATTTCTATTTATATAATTATTCTGAATTTTTAATTATTGAATTTTTATTTGAATATTCGTTAACAGAATTAAAATATCTTTATGCATACTAGTAATCACTGGAGCTGATTGTGGTTGCTCCACTTGTTGACGCTGACGTTCTCTTAAAACATGACTTTGACGGCGTGCGTATCTTTGACTTGGTCGTCTTTCAAACTGTACTGTTCTACGTGCTCGATTCAGTTGAGTAGTTTGAAATTCTGTCTTACCACTATAACGAAAACGCGAACCCATACGAAAGAAGTTTTGACGTCCACTAGCACCTTTAACAGGTGCACGTAATCGAAAGAAAGCATGATGTTCTACAGCACATTTCCATAAATGTTTACAAGCCTTTTCATTAACAAGCCTAAACACAAATGTATGTTCTTGTTCTCCTCTTCCTTCATCATCTTCTTCTACTACAACTAATGTTAATTTCTTTTTTTTAAAATCTAATCGACCAATTTTTGGCCAAAAAAATAATCCTATTTTTTGTGTTCCTTCAAAAACTAGAATTCCGGTCGGCGTTAAACCCAAAGAATATTCACATGCATCTTTACCAAGAACAGTATGCATATCTACACCATACATATCT